TTACAGCAAATAAATGGACCTGGAGAGTATTATGCTAAGCAAAATAAGCCAGTCAGGGAAAGATAGTATCACATGATCGCACTCATATATGGAATCTAATGAACAAAATAAACTGATATAAACAAAAAAGATCTGAAGACATAGAAGCATAGAACAGACTGACAAATTCAGAAGGAAGGCAGGGCCAGGGAGGTGGGTGAGGAGTGATTAACTGGAGAACTTACATGCATATTTGGACAAAGAAAATAGTGGTAAAGGCCTGGGAGGGGCAGGTTCAGGGTGGAGGGGGTCAATGGGACAAAAACAAACAAACAAACAAACAAACAAACAAACAAAGGATACATCTGTAATACTTTCAACAATAACAGAGAAAAATGAATTCTTAAAAAAAAAAGTAAGGCTTTCTTATTAATGTAGTGAGCAAGTTTCTTCTAACGATTTTTCCTTTTCAGAACTTTCTGGGGCTACTACGGCAATCCTGATTAAATATGCATTTTCTCAATCCTGTCCTCAAGATCACATATTGCAGCCACATAAATTTAAAACCTACATTTCCCTTCTACACAACCTATCTCAATAGAAACCTTGGATAGCAATGCCTTCCCATGTTGGTCTGTCACAAAGAAAATGTTTTCATAAGTTGACGGTGCAGGAGTTCAAAACAAGGCACCTTAAGATGTGCTTCAATGTCTAAGGATTATGTTGAACTAAAGGCACCAAGACCCTGTGGACTCAAGAGAAACTTCTGCTCTCCCTTTAAATAGCCAGAAGAATTTTAATTAGGAGCCTGACCCATAATACAGGTTAAAACCAAAAATGACTTTTTACGTATCTAGACGGTAGGCAAACTAATACTTCTGAACATGTGATCTCCGGTCAAAGATCTTCTGATGTCCCAAGGTGCATTAACTGATCCCAGGCTCAGAATGTCTCACATACCAAATTTCCCTTGCAGTCCCGGAACCTCTCTTGCATGTGGGGTCTCTGACTCTGTCAAGTGTGTGGAGCTCCCATACGTGTCACATGTAACTGATTAGACCAGCTAAAAGAACATTTATGGTAGAAGAAAGTATCTTTCTCCCCAACAATGGTCATTAATTTATGGTGAGAGTTCTTCATTCCCTATAGGGAACCTGGATGGAAACAATAAAGAGAAGGTCGTGGGACATAAGAAAAAAATATCCCTGAGACATATAGGGAAGTCATCACACCTCAGCTCCCTACTCAAAAGTGCAGACAGAGGTAGCTGACTTTATCTCCTTTCCAAATACCTGCTTCCCTGCAGGTGTTGAAACTACTGATGCCCATGAGCAGTTGATCTGGGTTTGACTGCTCCATGAACTTCCTGGGGTGGCTCTAGTGAACTACACTGCCATAGTTCCTCCATAATGCAGGCGCTAACAACCTGGACACCCAGTTGGTAAAGGAAGTCAACCCACCCTGAAATGGCAAATTCCACAAGCAGGCCATCTTGAAAAAGCCCACTTTGTCCCAAGCTTATTAAAGCCAACAAGCAACCCTATGCCGTTTGGCTCAGTAGATAAAGCGTTGGTCTGGGAACTGAAGGGTCCCGGGTTCAATTCCGGCCAAGAGCACAAGCCCAAGTTGCAGGCTCATTCCCCAGTAGGGGATGTGCAGGAGGCAGCAGATAAATGGTTCTCTCTCATCATTGATGTTTCTATCTCTCTCTCCCTCTCCCTTCTTCTCTGAAATCAATAAAAAATAAAAAAAGCCAAGCAGCACAAGTCCCTGAGTTGGTTTAGAGAACATTCCTTTCTTTTGTGTTGTCTCCCTTATCATCAAACATAAGCTTAATAAAATTTGCCCAGAAATCTCTCTGCTTGATACTTTTTAAAATATATATATTTTATTCATTTTTTACAGAGAGGAAGGGAGAGGGATAGAGAGTTAGAAACATCGATGGGAGAGAAACATCGATCAGCTGCCTCCTGCACACCTCCCACTGGGGATGTGCCCACAACCAAGGTACATGCCCTTGACCGGAATCGAACCTGGGACCTTTCAGTCCGCAGGCCGACGCTCTATCCACCGAGCCAAACCAGCTAGGGCATGCTTGATACTCTTGATTTCTGTATTCAGAAACCCCAAAACACCAAATGCCAGTAACATTTCAAAGAGGGAACTTGGACAATTATAAGAAGAAAAAAACGTTAAGTAGTTGAAAACTAACTTGCTTTACAAGATCATCAGAAATAGAGAGTAAAGATTTGCAGTTTCTAAATCCACCAACTTTAGAAAGAAATGCAAACACAGAACTGACCCAAGACGGGGCATTTACCTGAGGAGCAGCCATGTTGTCCTCTTCCTCCCCCTGCTCTGGGTTGTTTTCACGGGGGAACGTATGTTGAGGAATCACACCTGTCTCTTGAGAATATGTCTTGCTTCCACAGTCATGGGCAGAAGGACCTTAAAATGTTGAAAAATGTCACACTCCGTCGTCCTTTGTCACAGGAGAGATTCAGAAACAATGAGATCCTACATGAAGCTTAAACTGTGAGTTTTTTCTCTCCTGTTTACCCATGATATCCCCTGCCACAGACATGCACAAATTTCAACCCAGCAATGAGAATATGGGCTGTCCTCCTGCCCCCTCCATATCCAACAGAGCACCCTGTTATCTCCCCTGGACCAAACCTGGCTCTGAACTCTCACAAAAGTCTTGGGGCAAAGAGCCCTTCTGCTAAACACTGGCCTCACTTTTGAATCACCTGGAGCACACTAAAACAATGATGTTCCTCCCAGACCAGTTGTCCAACTCTGTGAGGGAGGGCACAGTAATGTTATTTCTTATCATCAAATGATCTAATGGGAGGAGACCAGTTAGCTAAGCATTTCTTCTACAGTTTCAATGTATAGGCAGAACCCTTGGGAACCACGGCCCCTTCTAAAAAGCTAAGTTCAGAAACAATGAGATCCTACATGAAGCTTAAACTGTGAGTTTTTTCTCTCCTGTTTACCCATGATATCCCCTGCCACAGACATGCACAAATTTCAACCCAGCAATGAGAATATGGGCTGTCCTCCTGCCCCCTCCATATCCAACAGAGCACCCTGTTATCTCCCCTGGACCAAACCTGGCTCTGAACTCTCACAAAAGTCTTGGGGCAAAGAGCCCTTCTGCTAAACACTGGCCTCACTTTTGAATCACCTGGAGCACACTAAAACAATGATGTTCCTCCCAGACCAGTTGTCCAACTCTGTGAGGGAGGGCACAGTAATGTTATTTCTTATCATCAAATGATCTAATGGGAGGAGACCATTTAGCTAAGCATTTCTTCTACAGTTTTAATGTATAGGCAGAACCCTTGGGAACCACAGCCCCTTCTAAAAAGCTCTAAAATATGTTTAAAAAATAAATAAATAAATAAAAAGCTAAGATGCTGTAATCAGCAGTGAGGCCCATGAAATGGCATCTTTAGCTAGTTCCTGCCAGAGGTAACATTGCTCCCCAAGATCTGTTTTCACTAGCAGTGGGCTAGGGAGATACTAGACACAACACACCCGAGACCTGTGTAAGAAGTTGGGCTAGGAACTTCTAGAAGGGCAAGACCCCAGGGTGGATTCCTAGTGTTGGAGTTGTTCTGGAATGGGCATGACCAGGTTCTGGGATATTTTTGCAGGTGCAACAGGGAGGGGGAAACCACATGGTGGCAACAGGGTTGTGTGAGGTGCCTGCCTCAGAACCTTCACAAACTAACCTGAGTCCCCAGGAATTCGCCCCGTCCCCTACCATGGACCAAGTGGAACAACAGGAAAATCTTCTGCCTGACCCACTGCCCACAGATGAGTGGAGCCTCAATCTCCAAAGGACAAGGAGAAGAAAGGTGTTAACATTACACCTTTTTTGAAAATGAACCAAAGGAGCATAACCGAGAAGTCTGTCAAGATATAACAGTATTCACAACCCACTCATTTTTACTTTCTCCAAATGACCCCCAAATTCATACTGTTGTTCTTGTTACTATTTTAATATGGTACGAACACTTCGAATGGGCTCTACCCTTTCTATAAAATTTTAAGTGCACAGTATAATAGTGTTCATGACAGGCATAATGTTGTACGAAGGATCTCTGGAACTTATTCATCTTCGAAAAATCAAAATGTGTAACCCTAAATAGCAACTCCCATTTCCAGTCTCCCTAGTTTCTGGCAACACTAATCTTTCCTCAAAAGTTTGTTCCTGTGGGTTTGACTATCGTGTGGGAATTCTAAACCTGGATTTATACAGGGTTAACACATTAAAAGTACTTACTATGACACATAAGTTTAAAAATCTATAAACTTAATAGTCATATGATTAAACTTAAAGGAAGGAAATAGGATTAAATTAATAAGAGAAAAAGCCCCCAAATCGGATGCAATCTAACAAACACAATTGTTATGAAAGAAATAGAAAATAAATTCCTAAAATATAACAGACTTCACTATAATAAATCCTCAGAGCAGCCCTGAATATTCATGGGAACGTTTATGCTTTTAACTGTGGGTAAGCAGGTAAATAGATCCAAGTCATTATTTCTCATTAACATTGAGCCAGTTTATATTACCAATGTTCTGGGGAAGAAAAAACTAGTACCTTTTTCCTCTATGCATATCTCTATGTCCAGATTTTTTTTCCAAAAATATATGTTTTAATGATCTTTTAGAGAGAGAATGAGAGGGAGAGAGAGAAACATCGATGTGTGAGAAAAACATCCATGCATAGCCTCCAGCCAACAAACATGAAACTTGCATGCGTTCCCTGACCAGGAATCAAACTGGCGACCTTTCGGTGCACAGGCCAAAGCTGAAACAATGCTCAAGCAACTGAACCATACCAGCCAGGGCCAGATTTCTGCTTTTCATGAGGACGGGCCCACTATTAAAGCTCTTATTTCAAACTGATTATCTCTTTAAGGATCCTATCTTTTAAAAGGGTACTATTCCAAGGTACTGATTAAAGCTTCAAGCCCTGGCTGGTTTGGCTCAGTGAATAGAGCATCGGCCTGTAGGCCTGAAGCTTCCCGGGCTCAATTCCTGTCAAGGGCACATGCCCAGGTTTCGGGCTCAATCCCCAGTAGGGGGTGTGCAGGAGGCAGCTGATCAGTGGATTCTCTCTCATAGATGTTTCACTCTCTCCCTGTCCCTTCTCTGTCTAAAAAAAAAATCACTGAAAACATATTTTTAAAAAAATTCCCAAGTGATTAAGGAGGTGACTCAGCTGTGAATCCAGCAAGCAGAACCAATAAGCAGGGTCAGACTGACCCACCAGGAGTCAAAGCATCATCTCATCAACATCATCTCACCCTCTGATGACAATAGCTGATGTCTGGGGACCTCCAGGACTACCCATAGCTGCATCCCTTCCCAGCCTCACCCTCGCCCCTTCCCCTTTATAATCCTACCCCCTGCACCGTGCTGGAAGACAGGATTTGAATGCTTGTACTAGTAAGCGCCCTGTCTTCTTGGTTGGCTGGCCTTCTCAAGGAACACCTAATATGATTCAACCCTGCCTTCCGTACTGGCAGCCCGAGCCCAACCAGGGATTTCCCCGTAATAATCTGAAGTGACTGGCCCCTTGTGGCTCCCCCGCCTTTTGCTAACGAGGACTCCTCTCCCTTTCTGCTCCCCTTCAAGTGTTTAGACTTCTCCCATTCCTCATGGGTCTCTATTTTCTTTCTCCATTTGCTACTTTCTCAAGTTCCTCTATCACACTTCCCATTGCTTTACAAGGCCCTCCTGCATCCTCAACTTCGCCATCTCTCTATAGACGCCTCACTGACTGTTCTGCCCTCGCACTACTCGATTTCTTTCTCATTATCTCTTTCTCATAATCCTCCTCTCCCTGAATTAGGCCTCTTCCTGGCATCCCCTGGGAAGGCACTGCTTCCTAGTAATAGGGCAGGGAAATTCCTTGACAAGTGGAAAAAGGGAAACTGAGACAAAATCATCAGACAAGGCCAACACTTTGAGGAAGGAACTCACAGCCAGCTAATATGTCACCAGGCTTTATCTTCCCTAACCCAGGACATTTAGGGGCAAATGACTTGCACATGCCGGACTGTCCCAGGGCCCTCACTCCTTGGTCCCAGTCCACCTTCAATGACATTCATGAAAACAAAACTAAGCAGAAAAGAACCCTGGTCCCTCTTACCCACATTCTGATGAATTGGTGTTATGAAAGGACACAGAAAAGCTAATGGCTGTTCGGTAAAGACCCTCCCCTGAGACCTCCCCTAGGTCCAGCCGTCCAAGGACGGATTTTAAACAGAGCCTCAAGGCAAAGGATCCAGGAAAGCAGGAGAACGCCCCCCCCCACACACACACACACACATCCACACACACACCCACACACACACCTTTCCCTTCCCTGACTTCCTCCTCCACAGGCAGCACCTCCTAAAAGGCGATGGGGCCACAGGAGACTTGCAGGCAGGGAAGCGGGGCAGCAGCAGTTCGTCTGAGGTTCACCCCCTGAACCCGGGTCCGGGGCCGCCTTCCTGCCCGACTTCTGTCCCTGACCTCCATCTCTCAGAGTGAACGCAGCCGGCTGAGGTCCTCCCTGTGGCCTCCCTCACCGTAAGCCCTCCTTTCATCGCACTGTCCCAGCTTTAATAAACACACTCGCAAAGCCACCGGGCTCCTGCGGTGAACTCTTCCTACCCGAAGCCACGAACCCACACACCACCCGTGGCCCAGACCCCGACGGGTAACACTGGGACTCCCAGTGCTGTTCTAGCCCAAATCCAGTCTCACGGAAACGTGCACCCTTCCTTGGCATCTGGCCTTTTAGAT